GAGTAATCCAAAACTTAAAAATAGGGAAATGGAGTGATTTTTTTTAAACAAACCACAACAAAGGGAATGAGGGAATCCCATTCCGTTTCCCCATTCCCTTGCCCCCAAACCAAACGCCCCTTAATGTATTAAGATGTACCCGGAAGTATAAAAGTGTCCAAAGAATTTGCCCTTGAATAAAACCTAGATCTAAGTAATCTAACGCGCCAAGAGGCAGAGGTAAACCAGTGGCAGACTCCAGGCACACAGAGGAAGATTACGACGTTCAATTGCGGCGCCACCACGGCCCATCTAATGCTACTACCATTCCGACCGTCGCGCTGCCCAATCAGGTTCTTAGTTTAGTTCCGAGTTGCAAGTTGAAACTCGAATTATCATCGAATTTAATCCAAAGAGGAAAGTGATAAAATTTTTAAGAGAAAAGTGCATGGATTACCCCCGAACTTCTTCAAAAGTGCACGATTTACCCCTAAAGAATAAGAAGTGCACCAATCACCCCTCAAATATGCAAACCATTGCACCAATGGTCCCTTTTCCAAGATCCGGCATGCGTTTCTCCCACGCACCAAAATTGCGACTCTGATTCACATCGACCCTTTGGAATTCTCGAAATTACCCTCCAAAAATATCTTCTCGACTTAGCTAAGAAGTCGCCCTTTTCAATCTATTTTCCAAAGGGTAATTTCGATCTGTTTTCTTCGTGATTAATTTTCCAAACGGTGCAATCCAGAATTGTTAATCGGCAGATTTGTTAATTATTAGAAGGGTAATTTTCAATCTATTTTACAAATCGTTAGGAGTGGAAATTTCCAAACATTAATTTACAAATTGAAATTACCCTTTAATTTCCCCACTGATTCACATGGGCCTAGAGTTCTCGAAATTACCTTTTTAAATCAATTAACATATAACATCGGCCCTTTGGAATTCTAAAAATTCTCGAAAAAAATTAAATAGCAAAACAAATTACCTCGTGCGACCGGCTTTCACTCGAGAAGTCGTGTGGTTATTATTGTAGTTGGAACGGATAGCTTGTGCGCACGGAGTATATACGAGGGAAGGGGTATTTTAGTATTTACAATTGCTTTTTACAATTCATTTTTACGAAAAAGAGAAAAGGGGGCAAGTGTGCAATGATTTGCATAATTGAGGGGTGATTGGTGCACTTCTTATTCTTTAGGGGTAAATTGTGCACTTTCGAAAAAGTTCGGGGGTAATCCATGCACTTTTCTCAAATTTTTAATATTTGATTTATTTTGCATTTAATCTGCTATGTTGGGGTTTGTGAGATGAAGATGCACAACCTTGTTTGATGCATCATCCATTGGTGCATCTACTCTGAATCATTTATTTTGTATACATAATGGTGTCTTTGTGCAGGAAGGTTTAACTCTCTCAATAATAGTTTTTTGATTAATTTGTTAACAGACGAAGCAGGAATGGTTCCAAACCAAAAGATAGATACTCAATATGAAGCCTTGATCATTTCAACAGATGCTGCCAAAAATCAGGATCATTTAACTGCTCTCCTGAGGTCACTCTTGAAGGTTTGTTATTTAAACCTTGATTATGCGCCTTTCGTACTGAAATTCTTGCTTTTTGAATGTCTTTGGGATCCTATCATTAAGCACGAGACGAAGCTATTCTCCCTATTTCACTTGTACGATCTGAATGTAGCTCTGAATATCTCCATCTCCTGCATTGATCTAATTTATCACACACACACACAGACACATATATATATATATATATTTTGGATCAAGTGAAAATGCAATCTAATGAAAGAAATAAGTATGCATCTTGTGCATAAGATGTAAGATTAAGGGCTTGAAAATTTCAAAAAAACTGAAAAAATTTGAAAAAATGCGGTGGCATTATGGTAAATAAGTTGAATTTTACTCTCAGTGCCGAAAATACACTACCACAATGTAAAAGTGCATCGTGAAGGTATAAAAATGCATCATTCTCACAATATATATATATATATATATATATATATATATATATATATATATATATAACCGTTTATCTGAACATCCGATCCGTTATATATAGGTTTTCTTAATTTTTTATGTTTATAATTTGTTTCTCTATTGATATTTCAAAATATAAGACATTTTTATATACAAAATAAATGTGTAGACACATAAAAATATATACAGACATATAAAAATATGTGTATATGTGTGTTGTGTATATCTTTTTATCATATGAAGTTATCGTAGAATATCATAAATCATGAAAACAAAGAAAATAATTATCCCATACCAAATTATAGTTAATTTAATAATAATTTGACTTTAATCTAATTTAAAATTAAAGTATTGTTTAATTTGATTTTAAAAACTGGAAACGGATACGGATGTATCCGATATCCGACCGACATCCGACGGATGCGGATACGGTTTTGATTTTCAGTATCCGTCAAGATCCGTATCCGAATTCGATATCCGACAAAAATAAACGGATATGAATTTGGTAATGGCACATCCGATCCGATTAATATCCGTTTACACCCCTACCACTAGGTAAATTTCACTTGTTTGGTACTTGGGTTTCTACTAAATGGACAAGTGAAACATAATTATTGAAGCAGTCAATGATTAGTCATGTTGATGCTGGGGCTTTCATTGAGCAAATTGATGTGTTGCATGCCAATAACGATCCAATAGGTAAATTTCATCAAGCTGATGCTCTTAAGTTTTTATACATCTATCCGGGTGTTGTGTATGATTGACCTTATGGCCTTACAATGCAAGATCTGCAGACCATATCCCAAAAAGTTGATTCAGGGCAATATTATGTCACCGTTGAAATGTTTGCATCTGATGTCAAGAGGATGGTTTCTAATGCACGCGCTTTACATGGTCCCGATTCAATGCATCATCGTTGTGCACAGGCATGATCATATCTCTTCTTTGGGGGGGTGTTTCTTTGTGTTGGTAGTTGGTGTTTATCGGCTTATTGCAAATACGCAATTTTTAACTTATAAGCTGCTTAAAATTAAATATTTTTTCGTAGAAATAAAATGACTTAAATGATATATAAGTTATTTGGGGATATTCATAAAAGGTGAGAGATAATTTTGTAAATAATCTAGTCAAAACAGAGAAACAAAAAAACTGACTTAAAAATAAGTAGGTAAGACCTTTTTTTGGCTTATAAGTAATTTTTAAGCACAAAGGAACACGCCATCAGTCATAAATTAAAAATAACTTATAAAAAGTTTTGATCAACTTATAAGTACAGAGAAATACTCACTTTATATATTAATTTTTTTTCTTTCTTCAGCATTATCAACTAGAGTGATATTGTGATAATCCTATTTATTGCTTTTCTGTGTGATTTGTTGACTAACTGTCATGTTTATCGGCCCGGTTCCATGGCCACTGAATTCCAGTGGCCACGGAAGTCACTGCCCCCCTACGGAACTCCGTTCATAAAATTGATGATTCCTACCCCCCCTAACCCCCGGTAAACCCCCCGCCAAGTCCCGACCCAAACGCATCCCCCCACCTACGTCAATTGCACCTCGTAAGCATAAAGTCAAAACTTTTGACTTTAAAGTCAATTATGCTTACGAGGTGCAATTGACGTAGGTGGGGGGATGAGTTTGGGTCGGGACTTGGCGGGGGGGTTTACCGGGGGGTTAGAGGGGGTAGGAATCATCAATTTTATGAACGGAGTTCCGTAGGGGCAGTGGCTTCCGTGGCCACTGGAATCCAGTGGCCATGGAACCGGGCCGAACGAACAAAAGTACATAATAGTGGTATTTCGAAGTTATATTTTTATATTGTTGATTTAACATAGTGACAAAATAATGAAATTTTGTTCCTGTGTTTCATGAAATTATAATAATAAGAATACGAAAATAAAATTATTGTGTTACTCTTAAGAACTGCTCGGAATATTACTTCAATTTGGGCATACATTCTCCAACTTTTATTAATTATAGTGATGGGGGTTAAAAATAATTAAATTAATGGTGCATTTGGTTATGATACAAAATTAGAAAAAAAACTAGAATGTTTGGAAGAAACTAGAAGTTATTGGAAAGAAAAAAGCTGGAAAGTATTGAAAGTTAATGATGCATTTGGTCGTAAGAAAATATCTAATCTACTTCTAGGAGAAAATAATTTTCACAAAACTGATTCTTCCCCACATTTTCCAAAAAATAATTTTCCATTATTTGATGGAAAAAGAATTTTTCATATTAGTACATGCTCCGTATTTGAAATTTGAATATAAATAAAGATGTTCTGAGACATTTTAAGAATATTTGAGACAACATCGTTTAAATTTTTATACACAACTGATATCAAATCTCCATAATATGAGTTCCTTTTTCTAGGATTTAGGAGAGGGGGTAGCCGAGGGTTGAGAAAGGGGGTGGGGTGCGTGGGGAGTTCTTGAATTTGGATTGTTTGTAAAATTAGAATACTCGCAGATTGGATAGGAAACTAAATTTTCGTCGAAAACAAACAAATGTTTTTTCCCTTTTTTGATAAAATTTTCTTAAAATTTGATTTCATACGACTTATGCCACCAAACATAGAAAAAGTCAGATCGAAATCTTTCAACCAAGCTCCGTATTCAACTTCGCACGTAAATCATTTTATTAGTTTCATAATTTAATGTAGGGTCTCTCTTTACTCAGAAGGGGGCATTAGAGAACTGGTCTGATCGAAACAATTTCAACAAGTGAACGAAGTCCCATACTCCACCAAAAAGCAAGAAAAAGGGTCGACGGCTGAAGGGCAAAAGCCTCTATTTAAATTGTATATTTGGGTATGGTCAGAAAAGGTTTTTTTTAGGCAAGAAAAGGTATATTTGGGTATGGTCAGTTTTCATAAAGAAAAATGGTGATGGGAGGTTGTTTTATGCTTGTCAACCAACAATCGAGCATGAAAATGCACAATGGCCAATTGGTCGCATAAAAACTGCATCTTAAAAGCCACAAACATTAACATTAAAGAAACATGGTGACCAGAGGAGAATGCACATTAGTTACATATTCATTTCAACTCCTGAGATTTATTGTGAAAAGAAAAAGATTCAAATTACACAGCACATTTTGTCCTTAAAGTCGCAAATTCCAAAATAGTTAAACACGAGACGGAAGGACGATGGTCATGTATAAACACAAGTATTACGGACTTGGACACAATCAAACCATAAGGCTTATCACCAAGCCTAACCATTTATTTCTTACTCGTGTTTTTTCCCCCTCTAAGCGTGACACCAAGAGCCCTCTCCAGTTTCATAATTATTTGCTGATTTGGAATTGCCTTTCCAGACTCATACTCCTGAATAACTTGCACTTTCTCATTTATAAGCTGCACAAACAAGAGAAATGGATCGGAACATTATTATTCAACATGTGTTTGCAGACAGCAGAAACATGCACTATCTACAACATTTAACTCTCTATGAGCAAAGAAGGTAAAAGCGGAAAGATACTTGAGAAAGCTGAGCTTGGTTCAATTTCTTGGCATTCCGAGCTTGAATAATAGCAGTCTTCAGCTCAGAAGGAACCCTTGGAACTGGAAGTGAAAAATCAATTTGGTACAATAAAAAGTATCATAATTTTGCGACAGCTGCTAAAGTATGAGAGCAAAAACATTGTCTACAAAACTGGTATAATGAAATGAATATATTAATATCTATCAGCATGATCGGGTAAACAAGTCATAAAGCAGGAACGATATGAGTGCTAGATTTCAGTACTTAATTCCACGGTGTGATGAACCTAGGTGGCAGACACCTTAAAATGCATGAGTGTCCAAGGGTCAGGCACAGTGAAATGCAAAGGGCACAGCAAGTAGATGTGTCTTACATGCCAAATGTGTCTTTTATAGGACAAACATCAACAGTATGGGACACAGGCTTGAGACGTCTAGGCACAGCTGGGGCGCAAAATTTGCTTCTTAGTTACATATTTTCTATAAAAATGAATTTATTGAAAAATTAACAGTCAACTTCAAAATTTTAAAACATACTCTGCATATACCATTTTTTACCACTGTGCTTTGTAAGAGTATCTGACCCTTAGACCCCAGAGTTAAAACTATACTCCTTCGGTCCCTGTTGGACTTGGTACCGGGACTACCAAAAGTAAAATTGTGTGATTCAAAAATAATTTGAGCCACAAAAGAAGAAATGTTGAACCTTTTCGTGGGACGGAGGGAGTATTAGGTTTGTTGTTGTATGAATATTTGTAATGAAAACATTTGAACAACTAATAATTTTCCTATTTACATAAATTGAATACTAGTGAGGTGTAGCATTTCTTTAAATATAAAGCTTAAAGCCTGTTTGCATTTGGAAAACTTTAAATAGAGCCTCACGTTAAACGGATAAAGGAAATTATTAAATAAAAAGTACACAATATCATGCCTTCGAAAAGAAAAAGAATTGTTATGAAAGGATTTCTTATGTATAAAGAAATCTAGATGGAAAAGTATCTTACGAGTCAGATTCTCTGTTTCTTCATCAAGCTTCCTTGTGTTCAGAGTTGTGCTACTTGAGGCAGCCTTGTTTGTACCAGCAGTAGCTGCAGAGTAATAGAACAAACTTGTGATCACATCATACCAAATACTCTCGGTCTGTATTACTTACCACCCGAATACTATCCCAAGTCAAAGAGAAGAATACGGTGCATCATCACTTCTAGGTTCTCCCAAGAAGCAGACTAAATTCAACTAAGAAAAAGGTCTTATCTAATTAGGAAAACATGAAGCCAAAAATGGATCCACCCGAATACTCTCCCTAGTCAAAGAGGCACGAATACAGTGCATCATCACTTCTGGGTTCTCCCAAGAAGCAGACTTTTTAGGATGAATTCAACTAAGCAAAAGTTTTTATCTAGTTAGGAAAACAAGAAGCCAAAAATGGATCCCCCACATTAAGTGTTGTAAATCAACTTGCCACAAGAGAGATCGAAACTCCCATACCACACACAGTGACACCAGATGAATATCAAATTGACCTAACTCAAAAAATGGGCAGTTTGCATCGGCCATCACACAGCACGTACGAAACCAAAGCTATAGGAGCAATTGCATAGAACCAGAGGCAACAAATCAAATAAGGATACAACTATACGCAGATTTACATGTGCCACAAAGGAAGGACCATAGAGATGTTCAATCGAATAGAAACAGGATGAACAAAGTTCAGATATAACGACAAAAGTGCAATATAAGCATTTTAAAATTACCCAATAAAGCCCTAAAGGGACCGTAATCAACACGGTATCGATGGAGATCTATAAGCACCTACGAGCGAAAAATAAAATTCGAGATGGGTAAGGAGAAAAGGAGATTTACACTTTTTTACGGTTTCGACCTCGGCGCCAACGCGACGGGCAAGGTTGACGGCATTTTTATCCTTGCTAGCAGCGGCTGTTGGCGCCTTCTTGCGGATAACTACTGGCTCCCAGTCTTGGCGAATCGGTCCATTCATCTTTGTCTCTCTTCCCTTTCCTCTCCTGATTCACAGATGACTTACGCTGGTGTGCGTGCAATGACGACGACGACTGTGAGAAGCAGCCCTATCTCATCACAATATATATTGATCTCACAAGAGTCACCCGGAGTCCGAAAATATATTACTCCGTATTAACCCCAATAAACATTGGCCCAAACACCAAAATTATTTGGAAAATGCTAGGGGTACACCAAAAGTGTACCCCAAACATCCCTCACCCCCTCCATCACCACAAAAAAAGCAAGAAAAATTCAAAAAAAATAAAAATAAAAATTAAAAATAAAATAAAATGAATGGTAAAGAGAGGGGTGGTGTACATTTAGAGTACACCTTTGGTGTACCCCTAGCATATCCCAAATTATTTTTCTGATCTGGAACATGCTACAAATCTACAATTGGATGAATGGGAATTTCGTCCAATCTAATACGAGCTATACTAAGGTATCTATTTATATTAAAAATTAAAAATATACACATTCTTTTAAACTGGTAAGCCAAGAAAAAGATCTTGTGCCACTCCACCTGGTCGTATGAAACTGGCATGCATCCTGGCTCCCGAGACTCTTTCATAGAATTCCAACAATTTCTCCCGCTCCTCAAAAGCCCACAGGAACGGAGTTGATGCTCCCACATCCATAGCATGAGTAGTTAAAGCAAGTGAATGATTTGAAATTCGAGTTATTTCACGGAATAACACTCGTATATATTGAGCTCGTAATGGTACCTCGCAATTCAAAAGTCTCTCTACGGCTGAAGAATGAGCGTGTTCTTGGGCCATCATAGAAACATAGATAGGGTCGACGACGGAACATCCATTTTTTATTAAGGATATCTGATTGGTAAACGAACACGGGCTTGGCAATCATAATTCGCTTCGCATATACATCCATTTAAGTATCCGCTTATATGTATATTCAATCTATTATGTATAGTTTTTCTCAATTTTTTATTTATATATATAAATATCCGGTGGGGTTCTAGTGACACCCACCTTTGGTGACATTAGCGATGTCACTGTCATTTTGGGATACTTTCGATGTTCCGTTTGTAAAATTGACAGTTCCTACTCCCCCTAAGCCACCCCCTAAACCCCTCACCCTACCCCCCCCCCCTACACCAACCCCGCCGTAATTCCAAGTCATTGGTGATGATGGTGAATAAGAAGAAACTAACGGAGCATTTGACGGAAAGACAAAAAATCACCCATTAGTAAATTTTAGAAAAATTGGAGGTATCTGACCGTTTTTATCCCAAAACTTAAGGTACCCAGTAGCAATTTTTTGGATAATTAATACCGACACAAAACTCCATAAAGGTACCTTCTTGATTTGACAGGACCGTTTTTTTCTCCCAGGCCCAACACCAAACCCGACCAACGTCGTTGCCATCGCATCGCACCACCGACAACTAGTAGCCCAGTAGCATCAATCGAATAATCAAATTTAATTGTTCATTTTTACATTTCTGTCTGCCTAAATTTATACTGTAATTTATTTTTAATAATATTGAAAATTAGATTATACATACGGAGTAATAAAATTTAGTTTTTTCAATTATATTTATTTAGACATAAATAAATACTCAAGGTTAATAGAGGGGGATGCAGGAGAAGAAGAAAATGGGAATTTGAGATGTTTTGGGACAGAGGGAGAAGTAACAAACATAAAACAAGTGTAATACGGAGTATGATATATGAGCAAACTTTGTGATGCTTGTCTGGAAAAGAGACAAGCAAAAGAACAAGCAAAGTGGAATGTTATTAATAACTCCTACTACAACTACTTATTTAGTTAATGATCCAATGAAGCCAGTTTATTATAAATGGATCCACACTTTGCGTTCAATTTTGAATGAATAATCAATAATGAAAAGATTGTCTGAAGAAATCACTTGAGGACGTGTACTTCTGAGATTCTGGGAAGAACTCAAGGAGCCCACATAATATACTCACAATTCAGCTTTATGTCAAAAAACTTTTCAAACCTACAAATGAACAGAACAGTTAGTCAAAAAATCACACGGAAAAGCAATACATAGGATTATGGCAATATCATTCTAATTGATAATGCTCATGGAAAAAAAATTAACACATAAAGTGGGTATTTTTCTGTACTTATAAGCTGGTCAAAACTTTTTATAAGTTATTTTTAACTTAGGAGTGATGACGTATTTCTATGTGCTTAAAAGCTGCTTATATAGTTATATGTCAAAAAAATAAATAGGTCTTACCTACTTATTTTTAAGTCAACTTTTTTGTTTCTCTGTTTTGACTAGATTATTTACAATATTATCTCTCACCTTTTATGAATATCCCCAAATAACTTATATATCGTTTAAGTCATTTTATTTCAGCTAAAAAATATTTAAATTTAAGCATCTTATAAGTTAAAAATTGCTTATTTGCAATAAGGCNCCCCCCCCCCCCCCCAAGAAGAGAAATGATCATGCCTGTCTGCACAACGACAATGCATTGAATCGGGACCATGTAAAACGCGTGCATTGGCAACCATCCTCTTGACATCAGATACAAACATTTCAACAGTGACATAATATTGCCCTGAATCAACTTTTTGGTTTATGGTCTTCAGATCTTGCATTGTAAGGCCATAAGGTCAGTAATACATAACACCCAGATAGATGTATAAAAACTTAAGAGCATTAGCTTGAGGAAATTCACCTATTGGTTCGTTATTGGCATGCAACACATCAATTTGCTCAATGAAAGCCCCAGCATCAACATGACTGATCATTGACTGCTTACGTTTCACTTGTCCATTTAGTATAAACCCAAGTAGTAAACAAAGTGGAATAATTCTTTCCACATATACATATATACATATATACATATATACATATATACATATATACATATATATATATATATACATATATATATATATATATACATATATATATATATATACATATAGATATACATATATATATATACATATATATATATATACATATATATATATATATATATATATGTATATGTATATGTATGTATGTATGTGTGTGTGTGTGTGTATATATATATATATATATATATATGTATATGTATGTATGTATGTATGTGTGTGTGTGTGTCTATATATATATATATATATATATATATATATATATATATATATATATATATATTGGACCTTATCGTGAGAATGGTGCATTTTGATGCCATCACGATGGACTTTTACATTGTGGTAGTACATTTTCGGCACTGGAAGTAAAGTTCAACTTATTTACCATAATGCACCGTATTTTTTCAGATTTTTTCAGTTTTTTTTTGAATTTTTCAAGCCCTTAAATCTTACATCTAATGCACGAGATGCATTCTTATTCTTTCATTAGATTGCATTCTCACTTGATCCAAAATCTATCTGTCTATATATATATATATATATATATATATATATATATATATATATATATAGATTTTGGTTCTAGTGAGAATGCGATCTTAGGAGAGAAATGAGAATGAATCTGGTGCTTTAGATTGTGCGATCTAAGGGTCAGGATTGCAACAAAATTAAGTGCAACAAAATGGTTTGAAAATGCATCACGTCGAAATGCATCATAATCCTTTGAAAATGCACTATCTCAAAATCTGAGCGCAGGATGCAATCTGAGCCGCACGATGCATCATATCCAACGGCTAGATTTCATTCTCATTTCACTCCACAAGGTGCATTCTTACAGGAACCGGCCCCTATATATATATATATATATATATATATATATATATATATATATATATATATATATATATATATATATGCGTGTGTGATAAATTAGATCAATGCAGGAGATGGAGATATTCAGAGCTACATTCAGATCGTACAAGTGAAATAGGGAAAATAGCTTCGTATTGTGCTTAATGATAGGATCCCAAAGACATTCAAAAAGCAAGAATTTCAGCAAGAAAGGCACATAATCAAGGTTTAAATAACTAACCTTCAAGAGTGACCTCAGGAAAGCAGTTAAATGATCCTGATTTTTGGCAGCTTCTGTTGAAATGATCAAGGCTTCATATTGAGTATCTATCTTATGATTAGGAACCATTCCTGCTTCGTCTGTTAACAAATTGATCAAAAAACTAATATTGAGATAGTTAAACCTTCCTGCACAAAGATGGCATTATAGATACATTCAAATTTATAAACACACACACACACACACAAACAAAGAGAGAGAGAGAGAGAAGTTACAGACTATCATCACAACTTGAAGAGTTATGGATTTGCCCCAAAAGCCATCACCATGCCTCGCAAGGCTTTTACCCACCAAGGTAGAAACTGAACCACAGGAATACGAATCTAGGAAGGTTCAATATTATGAAGCAGAGAGCTAATTGTTCAAAGTCAGATGGTGAATTTGATGTGGAGAACTGGGTAATTTTAAATTAAAGCCACATACAGATATTTCAAAAACTACAAGGCGGTTGTATGATATTCTGAGGGATTAAGCTATTTGTACACCAAAATTTGTACCCCAAAGACATGCACCGACATTTTGTGTTAGTGAGATGATTTACATTGACAAAAAATGTCATTACAAATTTTTAAATTGAACTAACATTTTCTACCCGTGTGAACCGTAAAAATGTCGGTGCATTTCTTTGGGGTATAAATAAGGGTAACCCCTAGCATTGTTGTATTTTGAGCCATATCAAGTGATTTAGAAAAAAAAGGGTAATTGCGTACAACGTTCCACCAGAGTTTAGTGTCACAGAAAAATCAAGAATCATTTGATATATCTTCACCGAATCTTAGATGTCATCAAAATAAATAAAGAATTGAAAATTCAGGGTGAAAGTTATCTTCCTAACTCCAAGGCTTATACTTACGGAGTATAACTTGATTCAGAGTAGATGCAGCAATGGATGATGCATCAAACAAGGTTGTGCACTTGTGCATCTTCATCTAACAAACCCCAACATAGAAAATTAAATGCAAAATAAATCAAATATCACAATTTTAATTACTTGCCTCTTTGGATTAAATTCGATGATAATTCGGGTTTGAACTTGCAACTCAAAACTGAACTAAGAACCTGATGGGTAGCTCGGCAGTCGAAATGGTAGTAGGGTTAGATGGACCGTGGTGGCACATCAATTGAACGTTGTAATCTTCCTCTGTGTGCCTGCGATCTGCCACTAGTTTATCTCTGCCTCTTGGCGCGTTAGATTACTTAGATCTAGGTTTTATTTAAAGGCAAATTCTTTGGACACCTTTATACTTTGGGGTACATCTTAATACATTAAATAATTATACTTCCTCTGTCCACCATAGATCTTCCCGGACACTATTCACATGGTCAAACTTTACTCACTTTGTTTGCTCATTTTTACTAGTCATTTCGTAAAATAATATAGTCTTGTCACCTCTAGTTTTGTAGAACTTTTCATGTAGTTTATTATTATATAAATTTTATTTTAAAATTTTACTCCTATAATCAATTAAATTGAATTGAAAATAAAGTCGGTCAAGCCTCGTAACACGTAATGGGAAGATCTTATGTGGACGGAGGGAGTATGTATTTGAACTTTGTAAAAAGAAAGTAATTTGATTATAAGTATACATAGAAATGTGTGAGAAACTTCACATTTCATATGTGACTTTAAAATCACAATAGCACAATTCTTTATTTTAAGTTTGGTGTAAATTTGTGATATCGATTTGATTCTAAAACCAGAATCAGTACTATGTAGGAGTGGTTCCGATTCCCAGTGGTCCTGTTTTCGACCTTGATTTCAATTCTGAAGCGATTTTGAAAAATTTAAATATTATTTGAAAAATAGTTATATAAATGACTCCACACTCTTTCCTTAGTGATAAATATTGTGAATCAACTTTAACAAATTAAAATTACCCAATAAAAACATAAGAAAACTTTGCCAACCACTTCTAGATGATTCCAATTATAGTTCTTGTTCCAAAACTTCCTCTATCGATTTTGATGCGAAACGCGTCTACTCCTAGTGTAGAAACGCTGACGCTTGTCATCTGAAATTTTTTCTAACAAGTAAAAAATCAAAAAGGCTATGTGTACATGACACTAAACTATGGAATAAGTTGCACATCATCCTTCTCCCACAACACATTTTCTGGTTTGGATAAGAAAATTAAAAAATCGATAAGAAATATGTAGGGGGAGAGATTGCGTGAAAGTTGGTGTACGCAAACATTACACAAAAAATAAAATTAGAGACTTTTTTCTTCATAATGCTAGAAATCCACCACGGGTGCCTCCAGAGATGATTTACACATACACAAATGATTATCGTTTGTGAATGTATATAATAACTTATGGTTGACATCCATAGGAGTAACTATGGTGGGTTCCTAACATGATAACTACTCAAAAATAAAATATTTACTTTATCATGTAAAAAAAAACCTCACACTTTTTTTTTCTTATCCAAACAAGAAAATGTGTTGTGAGAAGGATGATGTGCAACTTATTCCATAGTTTAGTATCAGGTACACATAGCCTTTTTGAATTATTACTTGTTAGAAAAAATTTCAGATAACAAGCGTCAGCGTTTCTACACTAGGAGTAGACGTGTTTCAGAACAGAATCAATAGAGAAAGTTTTGGAACAAGAACTAGAATTGGAATCATCTAGGAGTGGTTGACAAAGTTTCCTTATGTTTTTATTGGGTACTTTCAATTTGTTAAAGTTGATTCACAATATTTATCACTAAGGAAACAGCCTGGAGTCATTTATATAACTCTTTTTCAAATAATATTTAAAAAAACATTTTTTAAAATCGCTTCAGAATTGAAATCAAGGACGAAAACAGGACCACTGGGAATCAGAACCACCCCTACATAGTACGGATTCTGGTTTTAGAATCAAATTGATGCCACAAATTTACACCGTACTTAAAATAAATAATTGTGCTATTGTGATTCTAAAGTCACATATGAAATGTGAAGTTTCTCACACATTTCTATGTATACTTATAATTAAATTACTTTCTTTTTACAAAGTTCAATACATATAATTATTTAATTTATTAAGATGTACCCCGAAGTATAAAGGTGTCCAAAGAATTTGCCCTTAAATAAAACCTAGATCTAAGTAATCGAACGAGCCAAGAGGCAGAGGTAAACCAGTGGCAGATCGCAGGCACACAGAGGAAGATTATGACGTTCAATTGTCGCACCACCATGGTCAATCTAACGCTACTACCATTCCGACCACCGCGCTGCCCATCAGGTTCTTATAGTTCAGTTTTGAGTTGCAAGTTCAAACTCGAATTATCATCGAATTTAATCCAAAGAGGCAAGTGATTAAAATTGTGATCTTTGATTTATTTTGCATTTAATTTGCTATGTTGGGGTTTGTGAGATGAAGATGCACAACCTTGTTTGATGCATCATCCATTGCTGCATCTACTCTGAATCAAGTTATACTCCGTAAGTATAAGCCTCCAAAGTTAGGATGATAACTTTCACCCTGAATTTTCTAAGTCTTTATTTATTTTGATTGCATCTAAGATTCGGTGATGATATATCAAGCGATTCTTGATTTTTTTGTGACCTGGTGGAACGTTGTACGCAATTACCTTTTTTTTCTTAATCACTTGATATGGCTCAAATACAACCATGCTAGGGGTACACCAAAAGTGTACCCCAATTTATACCCCAAAGAAATGCACCGACATTTTAACAGTTCACACGAGTAGAAAATGTTAGTTCAATTAAAAATTTGCAATGACATTTTTTGCCAATGTAAATCATCACACTAACATCACACTAGCACAAAATATCAGTGCATGCCTTTGGGTACAAAATGGGGTACAAATTTTGGTGTACAAATAGCTTAATCCCTCAAAATATCATACAACCACCTTGTAGTTTTTGAAATATTTGTATGTGGCTTTAATTTAAAATTACCCAGCTCTCCATACTTGTATGGGCTTTAATTTGTACAAATCGGTCCATTCATTTTTTACCACTATGCCTAATAGATAGGGGTGTAAGAAGAAGAAGAAGAAGAAGAAGAAAAATAGGCTCCAAGTCCAATTTTTTCAAACATTTTTTACCACTGTGCTTTGTAAGAGTATCTGACCCTTGGACCCCAGAGTTAAAGCTACACTCCTTCGGTCCCCGTTTGACTTAGTACCGGGACAACCAAAAGTAAAATTGTGTGATTGAAAAATAATTTGAGCCACAAAAGAAGAAATGTTGAAACTTTTCGTGCGACGAAGAGAGTATTAGGTTTCTTGTTGTATGAATATTTGTAATGAAAATGTTTGAACCACTAATTATTTTCCTATTTACATAAATTGAATACTAGTGAGGTGTAGCATTTCTTTAAATATAAAGCTTAAAGCCTTTTTACATTTGGCAAACTTAAAATAGAGCCTCACGTTAAATGGATAAAGGAAATTATTAAATAAAAAGTACACAATATCCTACCTTCAAAAAGAAAAAGAATTATTATGAAAGGATTTCTTGTGTATAAAGAAATCTAGACGGAAAAGTATCTTACGAGTCAGATTCTCTGTTTCTTCATCAAGCTTCCTTGTGTTCAGAGTTGTGCTACTTGAGGCAGTCTTGTTTGTACCAGCAGTAGCTGCAGAGTAGTAGAACAAACTTGTGATCACATCATACCAAATACTCTCGGTCTGTATTACTTACCACCCGAATACTATCCCTAGTCAAAGACGCGCGAATACGGTGCATCATCACTTCTGGGTTCTCCCAAGAAGCAGACTTTTTAGGATGAATTCAACTAAGAAAAAGTTCTTATCTAATTAGGAAAACAAGAAGCCAAAAATGGATCCACCCGAATACTATCCCTAGTCAAAGAGGCAAGAATAAAGTGCATCATCACTTCTGGGTTCTCCCAAGAAGCAGACTTTTTAGGATGAATTCAACTAAGCAAAAGTTCTTATCTAATTAGGAAAACATGAATCCAAAAACGGATCCACCCGAATACTATCCCTAGTCAAAGAGGCACGAATACAGTGCACCTTCACTTCTGGGTTCTCCCAAGAAGCAGACTTTTTAGGATGAATTCAACTAAGCAAAAGTTGTTATCTAATTAGGAAAACAAGAAGCCAAAAATGGACCCCCCGCGTTAGGTGTAGTAAATCAACTTGCCACAAGAGAGATAGAAACTCCCATAGCACACACAGTGACACCAGATGAATATCAAATTGACCTAATTCAAAAAATGGGCAGTTTGCATCGGCCATCACGCAGCACGTATGAACCCAAAGCTGTAGGAGCAATTGCATAGAACCAGAGGCAACAAATCAAATAAGGCTACAACTATACGCAGATTTACATGTGCCACAAAGGAAGGACCATAGAAATGCTCCATCGAATAGAAACAGGATGAACAAAGTTCAGATATAACGACAAAGGCGCAATATGAACATTTTGAAATTACCCACTAAAGCCCTAAAGGGACCGTAATCAACAGTATTCAACACGGTATCGATGGAGATCTATATGCGCCTACGAGCGAAAAATAAAAATCGAGATGGGTAAGGAGAAAAGGAGATTTACACTTTTTTACGGTTTCGACCTTGGCGCCTACGCGACGGGCAAGGTTGACGGTATTTTTATCCTTGTTAGCAGCGGCTGTTGGCGCCTTCTTGCGGATAACTACTGGCTCCCAGTCTTGGCGAATCGGCCCATTCATCTTTGTCTCTAGGGTGTAAACAACAGATATTAATAGAAAATTTGATTACGGTTCACATTCATATTTATTTATATTAAAATATTCACATTCTTTTAAGGTGGTTATTATCCATTTTTATTAAGGATATTAGATTGGTAAACGAATACGGATTTGGCAATCTACATTCAATCTGTTTATAATTTGTTTCGCATATACATTTGTTTGAGTATCCGTTTATCTGTGTATTCAATCCATTATATATAGTTTTTTCAAATTTTTTATTTATATATATTTTTTAATTAAGATTTCAAAGTATAAGGCATCTTTATACGTGTGTTAGTATGTAATACTAATTTTACCATATGGAGTTTCATAAAATAGTATAGATTGCAACAAATAATTAAAATTCTACTCCATAACTAATTATAATTGGATGAATATATTAAAAGTATTTATATACGGAGTACTATATAGATTAGTTTGACTTTGAAAATTTAGAAACATATACGGATATATCTGATATCAGATTGGTATCCAACAGATGCAGATATGGTTTTGATTTATAACATCCGTCAATATTCGTATTCGAATTTGAAAATCGGTAAAAATACGCCGATACGGATCTAGTAATGTCACATCTGATCCTATCAACATCCACTTACACCCATATCTAATACTTGGAATTATTTGAATAGTACACGAAGCTAATTCTTGTTTTAAAAAAATGGGTGGCGCTTAATTCTCGAATCAACACTTTAGGTGTGCTTTCAGCACTCTAAAATGATCTAGTACATCTTATATGTTTGCACTATTATTTTGTAATTCACGGACTAGCGATTTAGGTGCACCTTTGTCATTCATTCTTTCTTTTTTTTATAGAAAGAAAAGTAATAAACTCATTTTAGTTAAATGAAAAAAGTGTAAATTTTACTTGGTTACAAAAGAGAAGATTTACTCATATCCTCATAAATATGTGATGGGCCGTTGGGCCAACAGAGCAGCCCAGTCTAAAAGTCCTCTACGACCCACGGAGCTCCACATAGCCTACAAAGGATCTAGGCCTGGAGACAAAAGACTGGGCCGAACGCGGGGCGGTCTGTTGTACCCTTGAACCGTGATGGGCACACAACCAATGAAGGAGAGTTGCGGCTAGTGTACGAAAGGCGGCAACTTTTACGGATCTACTGAGAATTTTACGCGATCCGGATACCTTATTTGTTAATTTCCTTAAATGTATTATGAGAACCCTATAAATAGAGAAGGGACGCCATGAGCACCTTCAAGTTAAACCGAGCCAATTGTCACCGCAAGTTTCTGTATGTTCAAGCGCTAAATATTCAATAATAAACTCGATCCGATCACCAAGTCAGATCTTCTGGTGAAATTCTTGTCAATCAAATTGGTTCTCTCATTGAGAGCTTGAGAGATTTAGCTCAAGAAAACCTCTACGAAACGATGGTGCAAACACGCAGTAACGCCAACCAACCCATCGACAACCCACACCAAGAGGAAGGTAGCGCCACCGGAGGCCGCCAGATCCTGATTAGCGTGACAGAGGCGGAACTCCTCATCCAATGGATCGGTATCCCCTCCAAACAACTCAAGGAAGTCGTGGCCGCCTTCACTCCCCACTGGGAGATTGTGATTGACGATGTGACGGGGGCTTGCACCGGAGAAAAAGCTGGGCAGGAGGGATCAGTTGGAAAGAAGAAGAAGAAAACTTGACGTTCTCAAAAGAAAAGGGAAACGAAGCCCAACGGGAAGGCGATCATCGAAGACAATCTGTCGAGATTTGACGAGGAAAGAGAATCCTCGTCGTATGCATGTCTCTCCGCCTTTGAAAGGTTGGGAGACCCCAAGTAGAAGAACCCCGGGTTTCCGTGTTTGACCAACTGAACGATGGTCGATTGTCCCAAGGAGCGATGAGGGGAATCCTCAGCAACCTCCCAGGCCCAGTCGGAGGAAAAGAAGAAGTTGACCGCCGATAAGGAGGGGGACGACCTCTGGAGGGCAATAGGAGAACTGAAGAAAAAGGTGGACGCCCAGAACCCCTACTGCCAGGCAGTCCTGGATGAGGTGACCCCTTTATCAAAAGGGTGATGTCGTGTCCTCTCCCTGAAAACTTCAAAGCACCGCATGTGAAGGCGTATATCGGGACTACCGATCCTCAAGATCATTTGTCACAGTTCCGGGATAACGTGGTCATGCTAGCCTATCTGGAGGAAATAAATTATCACTGCTTTCTAGAAACACTGGAAGGCCAAGCCTGTGATTGGTTCTACAAGTTACCGGAAGGATCTATTGATCGGTGGAAGGACTTTGCCAACAAGTTATTAAAACATTTTGCGGCAAACCAACGTAAAAAACATCCCTATTCTCACCTGCTTAATGTTAAGATACGAAAGGGGAATGGATCCGGGATTTCATATCTCGTTGGGATGTTGTTTCATCCTGGGTGGTAACACAGGGGGAGATGCAGCATCCTCCAGAAAGAAGTGGAGAAATATGGTGCACGTAGTAGAGGTCCAAATGCCTCCCCTGTCGAAAAAAAAGAAACGGGAGCCCATTATGTTCACTGGCGAAGATTACCCACCGATAACTAGCCCTCAGCGGGATGCCCTAGTGATCAAGGTGGAAATTAACAAGGTGGTGGTTCATCGGACCTTAGTAGACACAAGAAGTTTGGTGAACATAATGTACAGCATCGCTTTCGGCTTGCATCCCACTCGGTTCACCAATAAGTCCCGGAGGGTTGCCTTGAGTTGTGCCTTGAGGCATAGAGGTGATTAACATAGTCAAAGTACCCATGAAGCTCACGGCTCAAGGTATTGACATTAAGGGCCGTTTGATTGACATTTGTGTCAATCTGGTTGAGTGTGGTCGTCAAGGTGGCCATTTGCTCCGAAATGGATTGGAGGTTGGTTGTTCCTAGAGAGGGAGCTTGCAACGCGGAGGAGGAGTTGGAGCATCTTCAACGGGCGAATGAAAAGAAGACTCATCAATCTCCCAATGTTTAGTGCCCTTCTTCTTCGACCCAACATCAGTCTTGATGTTGTACTCCTCAAGAATAGCCATGACGAGGAGGGCATAAGGCAATGGCTTGTCATCAACAATGGCGGTCTACATGTGGGTCAACACAAGCTTGCACCAATTGATGCGAGCATTGTGGATGATAGCATGTAACGTCTTGGTATTGTCTGAACTAAGTGTCGTGTGGTTGTACTTCTAAGGCTTGAGGACCCGAGTCAAGACGTACTAGAGGAAGTAGTGCTGCAGACTCATTGAAGTGATTATTGGGCGCTTCTGGTTTGACGTTGGGACAAACAGACCAACGCTAGTTTCTTCCAAGAGAGCGGCTTCATTGAATCAAAGCCCTTCTTCTTTAGCGTAGAGTTCAAGATCCCCACCGTCGCGAGGCATCCCAGAGATGATTTGGAGGTTTTCCTCACTCAAATAGATCTCTTTTCCATTGACAAAGGACATGAGCATCCCATCTTCGTCTTTCTTCAAGTTCGAGTAGAAGGCTTGAAAAAGAAAGGATGGTAATGCATCTTCTGGATGAAGAGAATTTCCGTGAAGTGCCCATCCCGGAGAATATCTCGAGCTTCCCTAGGCACGTTGTCCATAAAGAAGCAGCTAATGGTGAAGCGAGGTGGCAAGATTTCCCGGTGCTAAAACTTCTCGGTGAACCGAGTGACCTCCCCTCGGTTGTTAAACCACAAGAAGGGCCCATCAAGGTACTTGTATGTAGGAGGCGGTGGAGGAGCAGAAGAAGAAGAAACTTGCTTCCCGGTGCGAGCACGTTTCTTGTTTTCTCCTTCCATTTGAAAGAAAAATAAAAGAAGTATGCAAAAACTTAGGTAAGATGAACAATATATGGGAAGGGAGACTTAGAATGGGTAGAGAATGAAGAGATATCACCAATATATAGTGGAGAAGGAGTGGAGAGCCGTTAGAGCTTCAAAAGGTGTGATAAATGATCCACCAATGACTATAAAACCATCAAACTTTTGAAAATATGTCGTTGATAGTCAATTATAACTGACCTATAGTCAACTATTTACCTTTGCTGAAAAACCTGCAACCTCAGATAGTCGAGTATCAAGTTTTTGATAGTCAATTAACATCATTTCCCTCCTGAAGTGTGAAAGAGTCTTGCACCGAATGATAGTCGAGTATCCAGTTTGTGATAGTCAATTGTCCATCTTCCCAGCTGAGTTTGCCCAAACTTCAGCAAGCTTTGATAGTCGATTATCATAGAGCTGATAATCGACTATCAGCCATTGCTGAATTTCCAGTTTTACTCAAAGCTAAGAATTGATTTTTTCCAACTTGTAAATTGATTTTGCACATTCCCCCCGACTTTATTACCAAATTTTTTTAAGCCTAAGGGAGACCTGGAAAAAAGAATTAAAAACGTCTCCGACGCTCAAGTTAGTAAGATATTAATAAAATGCACAATTTAGATCATCGTGGAATTGAGAATCCCAAGTTCGCTTCGAATGCGGAAAAATGACTCTTTTTCTAAAGGTTTTGTGAAAAAATGTTAACTGATTGATATATCGTTTCCATGAACTCAATTTTGACATCACCTTTGAGAACATGATCTCTTATGAAATGATGTCTAATGTTAATGTGTTTCGTCCTTGAATGAAGAACGGTTTCATCGTGCAGCAAGTCCCGGTGGCAACGTACTCTACTTCGGTTGTGGATAACGTAACACTGACTTGTTTCTTACTAAACCATGAGACTAATGAGCTACCAAGCAAATGACAAGTCCCACTCGTGCTTTTGCGGTCAAGTTTACAATCAGCAAAATTTGATTCGGAATAGCCAACTAGAAGACACGAGTGTTAGTCGGTTTAGTCGTTGTGCCCACGCCTTAGAGGGGGGGGGTGAATAAGGCGTTTTAAAATCTTTTCGGAGTTTAATAAAAACGGTGTTGGCAAATGCGGAAGCAATATATAANCGTAAATAAAATGCACACCGATTTTATACTGGTTCGGGAACTCCCTACTCCAGTACCTCGAGGCTCCTCCTCAAGGATTTCCGAATCCACTAAGTCCCGGTCTCTTGAACTCCGTCAAAGCACCGCACTAGTTTGGCAAACAACCCTTGCCAATAGGATTCACTCCGAGATTTCACCACGGCTATCTCGAACCGTTTACAACGAAGATTTAACAGCTATCTTCTACCGTTCCCCCAAGGATTTCAAAGGCTATCCTTGAACCTTTACCCAAGGATTTATATGGCTATCCTTGACCGTTACAACGTGAGAATTTAACGGTTATTCTCGACCGTAAGAAGGTGTGTTTGAAAAACACAAAAGAGGATTCTACACAATGGCTAGCTAGAATATAAAAATGAAGAACAAAACTTAGCCGGTGTAGAAAGAAAGTATACTCTCTCAAAAATACAATTCAAACTTATGAATATGAGAGTATATAACTAGAAACACAAGCTCAAAGTGTGTGTATAAAAATCAGGAATTTAAGGCTCTTGAAATAGCCAAAATATTGAAAATAATTAATAAAAGGATGAACACACTTAGAATAAAAAGAGAGGATGTTTAGAGCTTTTTTTCTTGAAGAAATATGAAGGATTGGGCTTGTATTTGTAGTGGAAGATGTTAATTAGCCGTTGGGAGGTGATTAGGGTTGATTTAATTCAAAATCACAAATCAGGAACAGTAACCCAACGGTCACGGTAGGGGGGTCCCGTCCATACGGTAGGGGGGTCCCGTGCTTACGGTAGCTAGGTACCTTCTCAGGCCAAAACTCTCTGGCCGTACCTATCTCTTACGGTACCCCTTACGGTAGGGGGGTCCCGTCCACACGGTAGGGGGGTCCCGTGCATACGGTACCTAGGTACCTTATGACCATTTTGACAATTTTTTCATTTTTGTCCAAATCATTTCCAATTTTGTTTAAAACCTTTTGGATGTTTGAAAATGATTATAAAAGGGTTTTAAACATATTTTGTGAGTGTTTTTGAGCTTGTGAATATATGTATATAAAATCATATCCTTACATTGGTTTCTACCTATATTCTACGCTAGTTTGGTGTTTTAACTTCATTCTTGAGTACCGAATCTTAATGGATTCTTGTTGTACCTGAAACACTTAAACAAACGTCAAGCTCTTATATTGTTTGTTAACATCAAAATATGAGGCTTAGCAAACCAAGGCTAACAACGAGGACCGTTTAGGATGCCAGAGTCTAATGTTTATAGTTCCAATAAGATATTTCATTGTTAGGTCTAGAATTACATATATTTTTACCCCTTAGTTTTGTACATTTCAGTTCACATTTGTACATTTAGAATATTTTGATGCTAAATATAGCATTTTAACACCATATTTTGAATGAGTATCATTTGGAACAAATTTTGGAAGTCTTAATATTTCAAAATAAAAGTAAATGGGTTGATAATTGTTTAAGCCCAATTATAGTTGTGCTGGCCCAAATTTTGGTTAGAAGGGATGTTAAGTCCTTTTCTTTCTATACAGAAGATATTCATTTTTGAAAAGGGATTCATTCATCCAGGGGTGCATTCGAAGAGAGATAGACTGGGAGAGAAGAGAGAGAGGAGGGAAGAGATATCCTTGCCAGAAAGCCTTCTCAGGCCGTCTTCTCCGGTGAGAGGGAGTACACGGAAGCCACCGTTCGACTCCCCTACCTGTGCTCTACCCGTAGACGGAAGAATCAACAAGAAAGAGATAGAGAGCTGACCAAGGAGACACTGGCAAGGAACTGATAGGATCGACTCGTACGCAGAAATTGCATAGTATAATCGAAGATTTACAAGGTGTTTAATTTGATGATAACAAGAGGGAGAGAACACGGACGCCACCGTTCGACTCCCCTCGTTGTGCTCTACCCGTAGACAGAAGAATCGGAAGGAAGGAGACAGAGAGCTGACCAAGGAGACACGGGCAAGGAACTGAGAGGATCGACTCATGCGCAAAAATGGCATAGTATAATTGAAGATCTACAAGGGTTAACATCTGTTCTCTACTATAGGTTTCTTCACTAGGGTTATATTTGTGAGAAATTGTGTATATGAGTTGATTGCTCTAGTCCTCTATTCGTATTTCTCAGAAAATTATTGACTCGTTGTAGTGTTTAATTTGACGATAACAATTTGCTTTAAAACCTTCGTGATGAATGTTTTGTGGTTTTCTATCTTCACCATGAGTGAGTAGTGTGATAGCTTGGTTTGATGTTTGAGTTATGAAATGAATCCTTTGCCCCTGAAATTCATGATCATATATTCGTAAGTAAGAACATCAGCAAGAAAACTTGAAATTATGCTTAAATGTTTATTGAACTTAGTTAATTCTCTTGACTGGCCATTTAGAGGATTTACCTAAGCAAAGTCTAGGAAGACTTATGAGACCCAACTATGACATTGGCTTGTCTTTAGGGTTGCATTGGCCATTTGTTTCATGTTATCTTTCTCAACTTCTCACTGGTGGGAGGTTGAGGAAGAATCAAGACCATACCAATCTGTGAATCAAGCACCTTGTGATTTATTAATTAGGGACTGGTCTCTAGTTTGTAAGTTGTAGGGTAGAGCCTAAGTTAATTCCGGGTTAGTGAGGGCCATTTACTTAAAAGAGTGGTGGGGGAAATTGGTTAGCTCTTTGGTGCCAACTTTCCACAACCTTGGTCCTTGTTAGTTCTACAAATTTGAGAATTAATGATGAGGTAAAGGATAGTTTCATACCTCAGCATCAAACCAAGGTTAGTTTCCTTTTCAAATAAATAAATACTTAATCTCTTCTCTTGATCTTCTATGTCCATTGCAAATATTCTCGAGACAACTTCTCTTTTTAAGTATGCTTATTTCCCTTGCATTTCTTTGTTTTGTTAAATTGTTCTTACTTACTTTTTTGAAGAACAAACCCCCCTTGTGTGTGTGATTGAGTTGTTTTTGGTTGGATGTTTTATACTTTTTATATACTATTTTAGTTATAGAAGTTATAGGAAAATTATTTTCTAATTAATCTCCCCGTGGATACAATCCCTTATTTGCTACTATACTACCTTTTATTAATTTAGTTGTTTCAAAAGGGTATTAAATTTGTACACCCTGACAAGGTGTTAACATTTATAACCGTTTCGCCGCTATTAAATACGATTCTTTTAGATATGATTGATACCTTGCACAGAGAGAAATGTTAAACATGATATCGGGTCTACTAGCGGTAATATAAAGAAGGGATCAGATCATACCTCGACACTTCTTAACATCTACTTTTTTACCCTTTTCATCATTGTCTATGTGCTCATCGGTGTAGCCATGGCTTTGGCATTTTCCATTTCAAATCACTTTAGAAACTCCTTGCAATATTTGGTTTGACAAATGAAAGTACCTTCTTTCATTCGTTTGACTTGTAAGCCCAAGAAGTAGTCAAGCTCTCCCATCATAGACATCTCGAATTTGTTGGTCATAAGTTTTGAAAACTCCTTTGCACAAAGACTCTCTAGTAACACTAAAAATAATATCATCTTCGTAAACTTGTACTAAGAGAATGCATTTGTTTTTACTCTTGATGAAAAGTGTAGTGTCAACTTTCCCCCTTTGGAATCAATTGTCCAAAAGAAATTTGCTCAACCGCTCATACCAAGCACGAGGTGCTTGTTTGAGACCGTAGAGTGCTTTTTTGAGCTTGAAGACATAGTTCGAGTGCTCAAAGTCTTCAAATTCCAGGGGTTGATTAAGGAAGGCACGCTTAACATCCATTTGATATAGTTTAAAAGTCCATAGATGAGGCAAAGGCAAGTAATCGACGAATAGCTTCTAAATGTGCGACTGGTGCATAAGTTTCTTCAAAATCAATGCCTTCTTCTTGATTGTAGCCTTTAGCTACGAGCCTAACTTTGTTTCTAGTGATTATTCCATTTTCATCGAGTTTGTTACGGAACACCCATTTTGTACCAATTAGGGTATGATCATCAGGTCTTGGCACCAATTCCCATACGTCATTACGTTTGAATTTCTTAAGCTCCTCTTGCATTTCCAAGGTCCAATGTTCCTCATTAATTAATTCTGAAATGGTTGTAGATTCAATTTTGGAAACAAAAGCCATGAGTGCTGCGGTGTCCCTTAAAGAGTTGCGAGTACTTACCTCGCGGTGAATGTCAGTGATTACCTTATCAAGAGGGTGATTTTTGGAGGTTCTCCAAACCATCGGCATTTGTGCTTCTTTTGGTTGTTCCTTGTTAAAGGGTTGCTCCGTTTCTTCATCTTGAACTTCCTTTGGACTCTCTTCTTCCTCCTCTTCTTTGTCTTAGAGATAGATTTTCTCTAAAGAATCTGCAAGTTCATCACAAAAATCCCTTCTCACCATGCGAGTATCATTCTCAGCAAAGACAACGTGAGGTGATTCCACCACGGTTAAGGTGTGTTTGTTGAAGACTCTATAAGCCTTACTCCACAACAAATAACCAAGAAAAATTCCTTCATCCGAATTTGCATCAAATTCTCCCAAGTTATATTTCCCATTATTGTGAACAAAACATTTACAGCCAAAGAATCGAATATGGGACAGATTTGGCTTTCATCCCAGTATCGGTCGAATGACGGCTCGGTTTAACACGTAGCTAACAATACTCACAACATCTTCCCACAAATACTTAGGAATTTTAGCCCCATCGAGCATAGTTTTAGCCATCTCCTCAAGACATCGATTTTTACATTCCACCACTCCATTTTGTTGTGATGTACGTAGAGCGGAAAAGTTATGGTCAATGCCAAGTTCGTCACAAAACTCGGAAAAGATGTTTCTTTCGAACTCTCCACCATGATCGCTTCTTATGGCTACAATAGAAAGATTCTTTTCATTTTGAACCTTTTTAAGAGAAGTTTTAAAAACATGAAATTCCTCACTTTTATGAGTTAGAATTAATGCCCATGTGAATCTAGAATAGTCATCAACAATCACAAAGGCAAAATAGTTACCACCGAAACGTTTTGTTCTAGATGGCCCAAAGAGATCCATGTGTAAGAATTGTAGGGGCTTTGTTGTAGACACAACATTTTTGGATTTAAAAGAGGCCCTTACTTGCTTCCCTCTTTGACATGAATCACAAATGGCGCCTTTCTCAAACTTAAGTTTAGGGCGAGCTACTACTAAGTCTTGTGAAACTAATTTATTCAAAAGGTTCATGTTAATATGAGCTACTCTTCGGTGCTAGCCACATATCATCATCTTTACTCATGAGGCATTTGGAAAAATTGGATGGAGTACTATCAAGGTCAACCATATAAATATAATCGATTCTATCACCGCGTAGAATAACCTTATTGTCACTAAGGTGTTTCACTATGCATGGGTTTGAATCGAAGGTCACACGATTTCCCTTGTCGCACAATTGACTTATGCTCAAGATATTATGCTTAAGAACATTAACTTAATAAAACATTATCAATAGAGGAGGTTTTGTATTTACCAATCGAACTAATGCCAATTATCTTTCCTTTGCTATTATCACCAAAAACGACATTTCCTCCTTTTGTGGGTCTTATTTGCAAGAACTTGGGTGCATCTCCGGTCATGTGCTTGGAGCATACGCTATCAAGGTACCAAAGTACACTTGATAAATTCAAGCACACCTACATACCAAATCAAAGAGATTTAGGTACCCAAACCGTTTTAGATCCTTGAGTGTTAGGTGCATAATGGTAGTGTGACTGATTTTGCGTGATGTGCCTATGCCTGTTGAAGCATACATGTGCTATATGTCATATCCTATTGCAATAGTGACAAAAAACATTAGGGTTATGCATTCTCCTAGGTTGGTAGTACTTTTAGGTGGTCTAAATTTATTTTTCCTATCTTGAAAAGAGTTAAGTTTATGCACATTTAAACTATGGTTTCTAGGTTGTCTAAAATGATCATTGTTATTACTAATATTCTTTCTAGGTGGTCTTGTGTTCCTAATATTTATAGGTTTTCTGTTAGAGTTAGTTTTAGCCTTCCTAGGTTGAGCCTTAGGTTGTCTAGTTGTTGGCTCGACTTTTTCTTTATCATTAGTTTCATTTTCAAAACCTATATCGTTTTTACAATATTGCATTGATAAGTCCATTTCGTTCTTATCATTTACATCATATTCTAAACGTTATTGCACATAAATAATATTTAATCATCTCATAAAATGTGATTTTAATGGATAAAACTCTCATTTGCGTTCTAAGAGTCATAAAAAGGGATTCCACATAAAATTATCATAAATCATCTATTTTATGTTGAAATACTTGAAAAAAAGGGAATAAATCATCAAAGGATCAAGATTCGGGCTTGAACAAGCTTCCGGGAGGTCAAAAACAATGTTCGGGGCCAAAACGGAGCGAAATTGGGCCGAAATCACGAACCAGCCGCGAAGCCCAACAAAGGAAGGGCCTAAGGCGTCCAACTTGGACGCTTGGCCAAGTTGGACGCTTGGGAGTTGGACGCTTCAGCTTAATTGCAGCCCAAGAATGACACGTGGCAAAATCTGGTTGGCCGGGACAGCTCAGGCGTCTAGATCTGGACGCTTGGACTTGGACGCCTTGGCTCCGTTCCTATAAATACAACACGATTCTTCTCATTTTTTATCATCCCATTCCATCCCAACTTCGGGATTTACATATCCCGTCTCCATTTTAGCTTGTATATTAGTTTTAGTAGTTAGTTTGAAGTATTTTCGGAGGTTTTGACTCCAGATCTGTTCCGTTCCGCTTTACGGAGGTTGTAAGTTTTCTTTATTTAATAAAATGTTGTTTTAATTCATGTTTGCATAGTATGAGTTAGGGTCCGGATCTCTGGGTCCGGACTAGTTTGGTTGTTTATTTTTTTATGTTAAATTAATGTTGGAATGGTTAATCTATTGTTCTTGCCTTATTTAGTTAATTATTATCGAAAGATTTAATTAGCTATTTATTGAGAAAATATTGTACCCCAATAGGCTATAATATTCAAGTACAACGGATTAAGTACAAATCTAGAAATGGATGAGTAGTAATAGAAATATTATTATTCCAATTGTTAATTTAATATGATAAAATAAATCCAAATGATGTCCAGACCCTAGGTCAAGATCTATACTTA